GGATTGACCCGAAACAACAACACTCCAGTTTTGGTCAGCGGCTGCGAACCCAGTGTATACATGTTCGTGTTTGTTTATTTTTCTGTTTTGGGAGCAGCACATCCCGGAATGCTTGCTTCGGATTCTTTTGGTCCGTGCCGGGCTTGAGGAAAACCCCGGACCATGGTTCTGTACGGTTTGCCAAAACACCATCCACCATAGATCAGTCTCGGTACTATGTAATGGATGCAGAGGATGGGTGCATTTTAGGAATTGTTCCGGTTTAACCCGGTTGCGAGACTATAGCGATAGGGACTATGTTGCTTCGTGCTGTACCAACGTAGCCCCCAGTGAGTCCACGACCTCGTCGTCAACTTCCGAGTCGTCGCCGGAGAATGGCACTCCCCCGCAGTCTCCAGAACAGCAACCTTTACCGCAGCACTTAGCGCCACATGCTGCTGTTCCAATTCCGGACAATGCATCATTGTTGCAGTTCAATTGCAACGGACTACGAAGTAAAATTGGTGAGATAGTGGATTTTATAAATCGGAGGAATATTAAGATCGCAGCGGTGCAGGAAACCAAGCTCAATGAAAATTGTAGCTTACAACATTGCAATGGTTACAACGTATTGCGGAAAGATCGCACCAGATGTGGAGGTGGGGGATTAGCGTCCCTGTTACACCATTCTGTTCAATACAGACCTATCTCGCTTGAGGTAGTTTCTAGTGACCCATACATGGAGTGTATGGGGGTAGCAGTCAAGTGTGGTACTGCCGAGGTAGAGGTGCCTAATATAAGCCTACTTTTGGAAGGCAATAACTGCCTGGTACTAGGGGACTTCAATGCCCACCATGAGTTGTGGCATTCCATCCTAGGTAATGACCAGAGCAGATTGACTGCCCCACATTTTGCACTGTAAACGATGCCACCACCCGAATAAGAGGAGAGTGTCACAGTTCGCCAGATTTAACCATTGTGTCACCCGGTCTAATAAATGACGTGACTTGGCAACCCGTCATTTCTCTTGGCTCAGACCATCTCCCGATAATCGTCTCCATCAGCAGATTGCCTGATTTCATAACCTCTGAACGCCGCACTTTCCTTGACCATGGGAAAGCCCACTGGCCCGAGTTCAGAGAGTTCACCAACCTTCGCTTCAGAGAACTGCCCAATCCTTCTGATGTTCGGGTAGCTGAAAGGATTTTCCGGGACATCATCAAAGCTGCAGCCGCTCGCTATATACCTGCTGGTCGAATACCCGAAGTAAGACCAAATTTCCCAGCAGAGGCAGCGGGATTAGCGAATGAGCGTGATGAGCTCCGACATACCAACCCTACTGATCCCAGAGTCAGTGAACTGACAGTGGAAGTCAACCGGTTGGTACAGGAGCATAAGCGGAAAAAGTGGCTAGACCATCTGAAGTGTTGCAACATCGGAACCGATTTGAGTAAACTGTGGGTAACGGTAAAGTCACTCTCGAACCCTGGAAAAAAGGATGATAGGACAGCAGTCACATTTAACGACGTAACTGTGACTGATCCGAAGAGGCTGTTTTAACCGCCAATTTGTCGAGCACCCCGAGAGTGATAGGGCGAGGCGAAGAGTACTACGTCGTATAAGAGCTCTTCCCGCCGAGGATGTACCTCCACAGTTTACGATGGGTGATGTTGCGAATGTCATCCGAAACGCTAAGTCATCTAAAGCGTTGGGCCCGGACGGAATATCAATGGTAATGTTGAAGCAACTGGATACGCCGGGAGTTGAGTATTTAACCAAAGTCCTTAACTTGTCGTTAGCCACCCACATAGTTCCCGAAGCCTGGAAAATGGGCATGGTGGTCCCGCTACTGAAGCCTGGCAAGGATGCCAGCAAAGGCGAATCACACAGGCCAATTTCGCTTTTGTCGCCAGTAGCAAAGACTCTCGAGGCCAGTATCAGAGAAAGCTATTCAGTTGCTAACCATCAACACGGTTTCCGTCCACAACATAGCACTACAACAGCATTGCACGCCATATCCACACATATCAGTCGAGGACTCAACCAGAACAGGCCGTGCCATCGACCTATCAAAGGCCTTTGATACGGTCAACCATGCCACGCTGTTCGAGAACGTTGAGAACACTACCCTCCGGCCAAGTTTGAAACGTTGGATAGTCAACTATATGTGTGGACGCCAGTCGTACGTGGAATTCCGGAATAAGAAGTCCAAGCCTCGTAGAGTGAAAGGTGGGGTGATATCTGCGGAACTGTTTAACCTCTACCTTTCTGGAATTACGCGCCCTCCAGACGGCATCGAGATCGTAACTTATGCGGATGGTTGTACGCTCATGGCGTCGGGTCCTATAGTTGATGACATATGTGTCAGGGTGAATAACTATCTCGCGCGAATGTGCAGGTCGGGGAAAATCTAATACCGACCACGAACTACCCCAAGATTCTTGGGGTCACGTTCGATAGCATGTTTAAGTCTTCCACGCAAGCCACAGCTATTTGCGATAAAATGAAAAGTAGCAACAAGGTCCTCAAGGCGCTAGCCGGCAGCACTTGGGGTGTGGAAAAGGAAACCTTGTTGACCTCCTATAAAGCAATAGGTCGGTCTGTGGTTAGCTATGCGGCTCCAGTGTCGTCGGCGAATACAAGTGCAACGCAGTGGAAAAGTATTCAGACCTACCAGAATGCCGCCCTGAGAACTGCAACAGAGTCCCTCCTCATGACTCCTGTGGACCATTTACATGAGGACACGAAGGTTCTTCCCTTACGTCAGCATAATCATATGCTTTCGTTGCAGTACCTGCTTGGGTGTTATCGTGGGAGTCACCCTAACCACCATATGGTGGATAGAACTCCCCCACCCAAGCGTGTCAGGAAGGACCTGCATGATCTAGAGAGAGATATCCAGCGATATAAGAGAGAGCCCCTAGATTATGAAGCCTATCAAGCGGGTCTGAATAGCATTCATACTGATGCAGTCGCAGAGGTAGTTAATAATTACAGTAAGAATGCCATACTCGGAGTCCACCCCCCATCCATTGCAGCTGAAGAACATCGGCTGCCTAGGCAAACCAGGGTAGTTTTGGGAGGATCTATGGCTACAGCCCATAAAGGTAGCATAATTCCTAAAACTGGACATTGAGGATGAACCGGATTAGTCGGAAAAACAAAGGAACATCTTAAAACTGCTACAACAACAACATCCCCCATATTGATTCATGTTTGCCATTGTCTGACTCGAATATTTGCATGGTGTTCTCCATAAATGCAGGGTGTCAACGATGACATCGAACCGTTTCATCGTCAAATTGTGTGTCATTTTGTGCTTAAATTGAGAGTGTGTGTGTGTTACTTTCGACGGTGAGGGTGTTTTTTGGAGTGTGCTGTAATTTTGAAGTAACAAACACCGCGTAAATATAAAATTGAGTTCAATAGCAAAATGTACATAGACTGAACAATCCCAATTTATTGGTGATTATCATAAAATATTGGTCATAAAAAAGAGACAAATAATGTTTGCCTATTTTCTATCTACATATTGTGTTCTTTTAGAATTAATGTGTGTGAGCACGGATTTGACTCTCATTCAATAACAGAATATGCACATAATTGAACAATGGAAGTATATAGTGTTGTTATGTGAATTACAGTAGCACTCATTCTCATTTACACCTCACTACCGGAGGCAAACATTTATGAAATTATAATCAAAATAAGAAAATTTTTCAGGGGATTATTGCTTTTTAATAAGGATTAACATTTTAGATTGTTTCGTCAATAACCACGAAATGTGAAAATTTTGTGTGGACCAATTAGAAGTACCTTTAATATTTTAGTATTTGCCAAGAAATTCTTCATTACAAAAAAATTATTTTTTCACATATCGGAAAAGCCGGTAGCGATTGCGCTTTGCCTTCTTCATCGTGTGTGTCTTTTTCGTTGGCAATTGTTTCATAATTGTTGTTGTTTTTTTGATATAACATTTTTGTATGACACACTATTCAACATTCCCTTTTATTGGTCATTACATGTTATGACGATGGGTTTGAGTGTGACCGACATGACGAGACATCGAGCATTTGGTTGGATGTCACGTACTGTTATGCGTTTGATCAAAAAGAGCAAAACATGACGAGCGTTTTCTCTCAATGTCCAGCCGTTTTCAACTGATTCCATTACCAACGAACAACAATTGATTTTTATAGATATGATTTTTACTGTATGTTGTAAGGAATTAATACAAAATAATAACACACAAATTCCTAATATTGAAGACACAAATTGGTGATGCGTTCCGAACAATTTTTTAAGTAGAAATACAGTTTTTGGTTCGGTTCAAGTTTTTTAGACAATAATTTGGTTCACGGTTTGGTTGATTTATAGAAAAAGCGGTCCGGTTCGAAACCGGTTTGCAGCGCTTATATAAACAGATTTTGTAAGTGGTTTGATTCTATAGGTACATTTCGTACATTTTCGTCCACTCATTTCGCAACATGTATTTTGATATTTCAATGAGTTACTAGTTTTGAAAACATCTACTAAAAACTATGAAAAATACTGCTATTAATTGCACTGATAATTCGTGGGGTGAATTTAAAGACAGCTTAGTCGAAATGGAATATCAAGAATATATACCATTTGAGTACGAATATTTCGTGGTTAAACAAATGAATAGCAATAATTAATATACTCTGTTGTATGAAGGGTATAGAAGTGCGCTGGGTTAAGACTACCACCTCAGACGATGCCCTCCTATCGAAGTAGGAATTCAAAATTTTATTCCAATCAATTGGAGAACTTCGATCTTTACCGCACTAATAATTGACTCTACATGGAAAATTTTCAATGTCAATCATAGTAGGAGTAAGACAAATGTCAATTTACCTTCAATATTGTGCCTTTGCAATGATTATTAGATCGACCTCAGTTGGAAGTAATTTTTAAAGCAAATATAGGTCTTTAAAACTGATATGTTGTATGTTTTTAACCATCATATCAAAATAATGATGAGTTTCACAGATACTTACATGTTTTTGGAATGTCCGTGTTATCTAAATAATCGCAATTATCCTTCCGAAATGATGAAGTTGGCGAATCTCCACATGATGACTCAAGGGTTGGCTGTAAGTCGGGGAAAAAAGTAACGCAAATAAAGTTATACACATAGCTAAGGGATAAAACTAGCAAATACATTAAAACAAGCAAATACATTGTAACATTTTTCATCTTGGCGAAATCTGTCATTTTAGAATCTTTGCTAAAACGTTATTGACCACTATATTTGTGGTTTTTAGTTAGTTGCGACTACAAATTGATTGGGGCAAACACTTTATTCAAAAATGTTATGTGTTATGTAATGTAATAATGTTATGTAATGTGTTAAATTATATCATGGTAAAATACAACTTGCATATTAAAAACGAGCACAAATGAAAACAACTCGTTGCATATAATTTTGAACGATTCTGGCGGGAAGGGGCATAGCATCAGGGCATTCATGTATTTTTACGAAGCTGTTCTACCCCCTAATTGTACCATGAAATTATATGACAGTATTTGTTAATTTCTTGCATGTTATCCAGAAAACTGTATACCTTTTGTTTCTAGTTTATTGTGTCGGATTAATAGTTACAGTACAGTACCCACTGCGACAAATATTTTTTAAGAAACCCAAATCTGAAACAGTGTTGCAGATTCAAAATAAAGAAATTCCAATCTGCAACAATGTCACAGATCAAAACAGTCAACCAAGTTAAATACAAACAAAGAAATCTAAAACTGCAACAATTTATAAAGTTTATAACAAAACTAAAGACCAATCCAGAATGGTCAAAATGCAAGCAAAGCATATTGACCATTGATATGAAATAAGATTCTAGCTAAAAGTTAGTCTTAAGTATTTGTTCATGGAATAAAGTTCAAATCCGGAATCACTGGCATTTTATTTATCACTGACGCAGTCGGTAGGATACGATATCAGTATCGGTATTAATTGATTCCAAAAACAAAATTGAACAAATACACTATACCGGATTCTAAAAAAAGTGAACTTGAAGTTTCATTTTATAATTAATTCGGATAACGAAGTGAATCTTTAATAATGAATGTAAACGTGAAAGAAAATATACCGGATTCTAAAAAAACAGATGTAAACGTAAAGTTTCATTTAATTTAGAATTCGGACAACGAAGTGATTTCTTAATGATTAATATAAACGTGAACTTAAGAACCCAACAGAGCGATTCCTATGATATCAATATAAACGTGAAGTTTATTTGACAAAGAATTGCATGAAAACTTATTAGTGATCGCTTTATCCAAACGGTATAATAGAAGCATCAACGCCATACCACGCAATACAACCCCAAGAAAGATAACCACTCACCCAGACAACAACAAAGCTCGTAATCAACACAGAAGGAGTGATAGAAATCTTGCCCCGAAGAAAGCGAGGAAACGATCTATTGGGAGTAGGTTATATGGTTTTATTTAAATATAGTTATTATTTAAAGAGGGTAATAAACAATGTTGTGTGATTTAGGAAAAAATAATTAAACAAAAGAATATTGTGAACCATGGCTCAAAATAGAGTAACAATCGACCCCATAAAATACATGTCCAAATTACCATTTTCTGATGGCAGCTTTTAAAATCTACATACATTTATAGACCTTGTGGATAGGTTAACTTCAATATTGGACACATACGACGATGTATCCAAGAGTATATTTTTGGATATAATAAAGTCAAAGCTAGTTGGTCAAGCCAAAGACGTCAGTGACATTAATAATCATTTGCCGTCATGGACAACACTTAAGACAGTGCTAACAAATAATTTTGGAGATAGATTATCAATAGAGCAACTTTACGATCAAATGCGGTCACTTAAGTTAAAAACGAAATCAAAAAACTTTTTTGATGATGATATCAGTCGGCTCAATATGAAGAGCCGCATCCTATATCAAAATCAGGTAGTTTATGATGCTATCATAACCGCCAATAAAAGAACTGCATTAGACATGTTTAAAAATAAGCTTATAGAACCAATGCATTCCATAATCATTTGCCGGAATTCGGCAAATATCGAGGATGCTATGAAAATTCTATATGATACCAATTATGCCTATTACAACCCAAACCCAGATAAAACTTCAAATAAAAAGTTTAACAAAAATCAAGGAAAAAATTTTACTAAAAACCATAATTCGAGCCCAGGCCGAAATAATCATACTAATAGTAAATTTTATCAAAATGCAAACCAACATCGGAATGATAATAGGGATCATCCTATTACAAACCAATCGGATAATGACAGACCAATTCCGATGGAGGTGGAAAATTTTCAACGGGACAGTTCAACAGACTGGTCCACATAATGATAGGAAAATGTAAATTCTTATTAGACACAGGTGCAACGAATTCCTTAGCCAAGAATTGTAAAATTAAAAAATCCAATAACAATGAATGCATTGAACAACGAACACACAGTCATCAAAAAGGCGATTGTTAACGCTTTCAGTGAATTTGGACTTTCAGGTGAAACTTTTGAATTTTTTATATATAACTTTAACACATGAAGGTCTAATAGGTAATGACATTTTACGAAAGCAAAAAGCGGTCATAGATTTTGAAAGTAATTACATGATTTTAAATGGGAAAAGAATTCCATTATTTTCTGAAGAACGAAGGTCGTATTGAATATATTTCCGGGGGAACACATCTACAGAAATCCAACATGTTCTTATAACTCAAATATTCTAATAAATAATGTAATAAAAATCCTAAGGATATAACAATCAAGTAGACTCCTAATTGATTTCCATGTAGTATTTCCAGATAATGAAAAGTTATCCTTTACTCATGAAATAAGGCATAATAAAATTACTATAATCCCAATAAGGAGCAAAATATACAGATACCCCTACATTCACAAGGAGGAGATACAAAGACAAATTACAGAAATGTTGCAAAACGGTATTATTGCACCGAGCATTAGTCCTTACAACGGTCCCGTTTGGGTGGTACCTAAGAAACCAGACTCGTCTGGAATAAAAATTTTGACTCGTAATTGATTATAGGAAATTAAACGATAAAACGGTGGATGACAATTACCCAATTCCGAATATAACTGATATTCTAGACAAATTAGGGAAATCCAATTATTTTTCTATTATTGATCTTAAAAGTGGATTCCATCAAATAGAGGTTGAAAAGAACGTTGAAAGAAAAGTGGATTCCATCAAATAGAGGTTGAAAAGAACGATAGACCTAAGACTGCATTTTCAGTCGACAATGGTCAATGAATTTAATAGAATGCCATTCGAATTGAAAAATACACCGAGCTCTTTTCAACGATTGGTTGATAACATTCTTAGAGAGAATGTATCGAAAAAAGAATGTATGGTGTACATGGATGACATTATAATTTTCTCGAATGGTTTAGAGGAACACATTAAAAATTTGAAATCAGTATTGCTAAAATTGAGAAATGCAAGACTCAAAGTGCAATTAGACAAATGTGAATCTCTAAGAAAAGTTGTAGAATCCCTTGGTCATATTGTAAATGAGAAAGGAGTTTTTCCTAACAAAAAGAAGGTTGAAATAATAAAAAACATACCAATTCCTAAAACAGAGAAAAATATAAAATTATTTTTAGGAATGACCGGTTACTACCGGAGATTCTAACAAAATGACGCTCATATAGCAAAACCGATGACACAATGTTTGAAAAAGGTTTCCAGCATTAATATTACAAACCCAGATTATATTACCGCATTTAATGAATTGAGAAAGTTAACTGAAACCCCGATACTTATATATCCAGATTTTAATATACCATTTGAAATAACGATAGATGCTAGGAGGAGTTCTGCCTCAGAACGACAAGCCCATAGCATACATATCCAGAACACTAAACGAGCACGAAATTAATTATTCAACCATAGAGAAAGAATGCTTAGGAATTCTGTGGTGCCTTAAACAATTTAGACTTTATGTCTACGTAAGGAAGATTAAATTGTTTACAGATCACAAACCCTTTGTCTGGTTGAACAATTTTAAAGACTTCGATAACGATTTTGTTAAAACCATTATTTCAAATCATTTTTATGAAGGTAAACACAACGTTATTTACTTGACAGATGAATTATTTGAGATTTTCGAAAATGTTCACCGATAATTTTATAAGAACTAAACATAACCAGATGTTTAAATAAATTAATTGAGGTGATAAAAGAGGAAAATCTACATAATATAATATCGGCAGAACATTCCAGAAATAATCATAGAGGTATAGACGAACACTTTGCCCATATAAAAAGCACATACTACTATCCAAATAAAAAAAAAAATATAAATGAATTCATAAATAATGGTGAGATTTGCAATTTAGCTTAATATGAAAGAAAGCCTCAGTCAACACCATACATGATTTCAGAAACTCCAAAAGTGCCCAAAGAAATAATTCATATGGATGTATTTTACTCTATCAATAAATCCCTTTTTATCACAATGATAGATAAGTTCACGAAGATTGCCCTTATTACTAAAATAAAGAACAGATCAGACCCCGAATTCAGGAAGGCTATTTTGAGATACATCAGTACGTACGGATATATAAAAAAGATTATAACTGATAATGAACTGGGAATGAAATCAAAGGGAATGAATAAATTTTTGAAGGACAAAAATATTGAAATCCATTTTACATCAAGCTTAAATCATAACAGTAACAGTGATGTTGAAAGACTCCATAATACCATAAATGAACATCTAAGAATCTTAAAATATACTATGAGACATATTCCAATTGAAGAACAAATGATTCAAATTAATGGTTATTATAACGAAACTATACATAGCACTACCAATATGAAACCTATTGATTTTGTGAATGGTAAAATAAATGAGAAGGAATATAATGAAATACACGAAAAACTCGTAAAGAAGAAAGAACTTAAAATCACAAAATTAAATGAGAGTAGAACTAATGACATACCCATCGAGGATGGCATTAATTATATCAAGGAGACACGAGGAGGAAAAAATTATCTTAAATTTTGGAAGGTAGAAGGAACTAAGGTTGACGAAAATCATTTAAAAGACGAAAATTCCAATCATAT